AATTAAATAGAAACATTTAAGTTTTAAAAATTGCATCATGATTGATACTATGTAGATATTGAAAAAATAATAATAATAATAAATAAAATAAAATAAAAAATCCCATTGTATTCAATCAAAAGTTCAATTGCTCAATTTGTTTTGTTTGGTTTAATCAATTGAATCATCACTAGATCAATAATGATGCAAAATGAGAATTCAAATGATTATTTATGGAAGAGCCAGAACTTTTATCCATTAATTTCACATACAATCTTGATCTCTGTATCATAAATTGATCATTGATTATCACTAACTTAATTTGATAGTATATAAGGCCGGTCATCCTCAATTTTGCCATTTAGATATTATTTGTATCTAATAGATATGGTACATCCACTAGACGATTGCATAGAGTTTGCAACCCGATGTTTGTGAAATTACTATTCAAATTTTATATTGCATATATAATTTTCAAATTAAACAATTAAGATGGTGTGTTTTGTTAATGTCAGAACTTTTATCCATTAATTTCACATACAATCTTGGTCTCTGTATCGTAAATTGATCATTGATCATCACTAACTAATATTTTAATTAAATCTTTATAATCTTAAAAATTAATTTGACCGTATCTAAGGCCTGTCATCCTCTATGTTGACAATTTAGATATTATTTGTGTCTAATAGATATGGTACATCCATTAGACGATTGCATAGAGTTCGAAACTTGATATTTGTAAAATTGCTGTTTAAATTTTAAATTGCAAGTATAATTTTTAGATTAAATAATTAGTGAACATAAATCTCAACATTTTAATAAGTGTTAGCTGGAATGACAATAAATGGTTTAATATTATTGTTTGTTAGATGCCTTCAATTAATTTCTAAAAACATTATTTTTTATAACAAAGTGCTTCCCATCTGCCTAGGAAATGCTATTACATCTTGTCAATAACAAAGTTATTTTCTGCAATATTTGGCTTATAGTTAGAATCAAATTTTTATCTAACTATTTTGATAGTGTAATATATGTACAATTGATCCACCATAATATACTGAGATAAAAAGTAAAGAATACTAAGAATAAATGCCTAGTTTGAACCCTTATATAATATCTCAAACGTTAAGGGATGATATTTTATGGCATGATTTGCTGATTGTATATTTCATTGGATATTTATCTTAACATGAGAGGAGAAATTAATAAGCTAGAATTAATATGAAAATGCATCACTATATTATGTAGAACCTCACAAAAGACAATTCAAAGGTTTGGAAAATATCATTTAGATGTATTTATTGATCAAAAAAATTAAAATTATCTCACACGATAATTTTAAATGCTCCAACTCGTATTGATGTCCTAAGACGATAATTTGTTAACATGATACTTTATAAATCAATGAGACATCTGAAGCGTGATGACATTCGATTCCAAAACAAAATTCTCAAAAAGAAAAATGTAACAAATAGTGAATATGATCCCATTAGGAAGTTATACTTTTGCAAAGCATATAGATATAACTAATTATAAAACTCCAAAAGATGTTCAAGTACTCGAAAATATTGAAAGTGGAGATATATCAATAAGTTGTATCGTTATGGAAAAGAAATAGAACCAATTGTTGACAATATTTTTGTACATGATGTACCGATTTATGTTATAAATAGCGATGAATCAAAGTAAATTCATCGAATCATATCGATTGAGATGCAGCCCTTGTAAAATTGAAGTTATTAGAGAAACTTAAAAAATTTTAGATATGAAGTATGAAAATTTAAAGGTTATAATTATGCAAAATGAAAATGGTAAAATGAAGTCGTAATACGTAATGCATGACTCTCAACATAATAAATTACGTAAAGACCATAGTGGATGAAATTTAAATCTTCATCATGCTATCCTAACAATATATTCGTTTATAGTCAACTCATGTGGCATAAATATTTGTGTTATTCTTGAAGTGTTTAATATGCTTGAAAGATATAATTGAAGTGATAGTATTATGAGGGAAATAAATACCCATTGTATTCTTTTTTTTCCTTAATCAAAAATTTCGTTTCATTGGATTTCTCTGACAAAGTTTTTGATGAGGCATTTTTTTTTAACGCATTCAAAGGAATAATAAACTATTTTCCCTTCATTATGATTTTTTCCACATAATTTTTCCTAATAACGTTTTAACAAGATATATACTTTATGTAATGAATGATCATCAATAAGACATTTATCCTCAAAATATTACTCTTACATATATGAGATTCCTGAGAAAATGACAAGAGCTATTTTTTGAATCATCATGTTACTGCAATTTGTTCTTTTCTTTTCTTTTTGTTTTGTTAGAATAGAACGGTAAAATTATCTTTTTATTGGAAAAATAGATGAAAATGACATTTTCCACAATAAAAGGTGAAAATAAGAGTTAAAATGCCAAAAATGAAAGATATGAATGTTTTGCACGACTTTGAATTGCAGAGATGTTTTGTGCTATTTACCCTTACTTGAAATATTGTATAAGTATTTTTTATATTTTAATTATTTGTTTATTGAATTAAGACAATTTTTTCTTCTTTTCAAAATATTTTTTTGCTACATGGGTGAATGAGATAGATATCAATCCTCAACCTTTTATATGGAAATATAAGTTATTTCTATTTTAAATGAAAAGTTTTCAAAAGTCTATAGAACTAACATGAAAATCTTCAGGAATTTCACCAATTTCATACAAATATATAGAAGTCCATGAAATTTACAAAAGTTACCATTTAGAAAAAGACGATAAAAGTTTTCAAAAGGGAAAATTTAATAAGTAAGATATTAAGTATGGTATATTTGAAAATTAAGAAAACAAGTTTCAAACTTCAAAAATCAAATCTTTATTAAAATTTATTTATGATTTAATTAATTTATTTATTTATTTATTTATTAAATATATTTAGGTCACATATCTATATAATTTGATCACAAACTAACAATTTAATTAGTCACTTATTGTTTTTTTGTCACAATTCAAAAATTTTATAGGTTATAGTTTATTCATCGATCATAAATCAAAAAATTAGTTAGTCGTGGATTAATTTTTAGTCACAACTTATTTTTCGGTGACAAATAAAAAATTTTAGAAGTCACATTATTTTTCGGTCATGAATAAAAAAATTTATAGGTCAAAGATCACAAATATTATGTCACGCTTATTAGACCGTTACAAATTATTAATTTTTTAGATCACACATTATTTATTAGTCACACTTTATCTTTTTCATTGATCACATATTGTTTATTGATTACAGATTAATCAATTTATTGGTCACAATTAATCAACTAAATAATCTGTGACCACCACCAATACTTACGACCACCAGTTCAACACTGTCTCCAACAGCACCACCATCATCGTCAACTCCAAAACCACCACCACATTGATACAAATAAATCAATTTATTGGTCACAACTTTTAATCAACCAACAAAATCGTCACAAACACCTACACCCCAATCGCCTCACCACCACTTCCTCACAAACCCCGCCACAACCACCACCACCTCACCATGATCAAATAACTGCCACCACAACCACCACAAAATTAAATTCAAAATAATTGCACAACTACCAAAAAATCAGATCCAAAATCACTATATAACCATTGGTTACAAACCTAAATCCATTCGTCCCGATCGTAGCAGCAGCAATGCAGGCTGCTTCAGATCAACGCTGCACTGCTACAGTGGTGGTGTTATGGTGGATCGTGGTGGTATTGCAAATCGTCGTGACCAAATGAGTGTGGACACCAACACCGCATTGTCGCGACCAGATGAATGGTAATATCACACTAACACCAAATACTAGATGAGTGGTAACATCGCAGCAACACCAGCACCGACTTGTCTTCGCTGCTTGCCGCCACCTGTTGCGTTCGAATGAGATGGGTTTCGGAGCCGATGAGGGGAAGGCAGGGAGGCTGAAACAGTGAGTAGGGTAGGTAGAGAGGTTGAGAAGAGAGAGTGAGAGGAAAGTGGTAATTGAATTTTAAGGTTTGGGATGAATATGTATATTTAATTTTGTAATACAATTATTAATATTAAAAATATATTAATTAATTAAAAAATTCTAATTTGTGAAATACTAAACACGACATCTGATTTATGAAATGGGAATTTCAAATTTATTAGAATTTGTAATTTTCACTTTTCAAAAATCCAAATCGAATATGCCCCCCTTAGTTTTATAGCACATACTTGTTTGAATTTCACTATAACACTTCAAATTGAAACTTTCTAAACATAAAAGTTAATTTAAATTATATAATATTCAATTATAAAATTTAAATTTGCTATTTTATTCTTCAGAAAGTGCCTGGTTCGCATATGCGTCTGTTCGAGTTAGTTCATTTACTTTCCCGTCCCATTTCAAATAAATAAGTAATGATCCATGCCTATTTTGCACTGTTTCAGTCAATATAATAAAACAGATATGCAATGCAACGCGGCAACGCCCACTCATTGACACACCTAAAGTATTTATTTACTCTTTTTTCCCAATATAAAAGCAAAGTCCTTTGAAGATTCCATCATTATAAAAAAGAAGTTTGTGCCAACCCGCCGTACGCCCTTGACACTATCCGGAAACAAAGATTTTTCCACTTTCATGAGACGTTTAAGTAAGGAAATAAGTAGAATATGCACTAAGAGTTCGAAAATTACCCCAAATGAATATAACCTACCTTCAACAAGGAAACAAAATAAAATTACCAGCAACAGACTTCTCTCATTTCTATCAACTTTTAATTTAGAGAGCAACATAATGTAAATATCAAAAATAGTGACAATTTAACAAAACAGGTTGTGCTTGTGGTACATAATTTTGGATCCACAATGGTGTTCATATACTCACATGGGATAGGGGCCACTCTCACATGAACCTCACCTCATGTGATTGTATGGACACCCTTATGGATCCAAAATTATGTACCAATAGATTTATCCAAACAAAACCACACAGAATCAAATGTTCAAGGGATATATAGCTCAAATGAAAATTCATTCATAGAAATACCTTGAAATAACATGATCTGTTACAGGTGCCAATGGTTCACAGTTAAAGAATTTCTTTTTACATGTTCAGGAAATAAAAACACAAAACTGATGCCAGATTTTAGCTACAGCTGAATGACATGAAATTGGGTTTAATTTGAAATGAACTTTACCTCACTGTACAACCTGATTCAGCTTAGCTTCAAGAACACGAACTTCTTCAAGTTGACTGTTCTTCGCCCGAAATTGTGGTTGAGCCCAACTTGGAATCTTTGCGCTGATTTACAAAATCCACATCACTTTCTTTTATTGGATTTTCAGATTCGTCACTGCCTGAGGAAGAAGTTTTATCACGAGTACATATAGCTTCTCCACTAGACTGAATATTAGTATCCGAAGGCCTATCAGAAGAAGCTGCAGAATTTCCAGAGCCACCAACGTTTCCGCTAGAATTACTTGAAGTGACAGCTTCGCCACTAGATTGAAAATTAGCATCTGAATGCGCATCAGGAGGAGCTGAAGAATTTCCTGCACCACCAATGCTTTTGCTAGAATTACTAGAAGTGATCCACATAAACCGCAAATTGTGGCCTTGCCAGCATTTCCCATTCAAGAATGCCTTCTCAGCAGAATGTCGTGTCATGAAAGAGAGACAAGCTGCAACATTTGATGGCAGCAAAGCATTACTAGTTTCGTGGGGCTCAGACTCTACCAGTTCCACAGAAGAAAGATCCCCATAACTAGAGAAGTGTTCCTCTAAAGCAGCAACCTACTAATGAGTCATTTTTAGTACCATTTATCATGTAAAGAAAAACAAGAATAAACATGAAAAGACCCGAGGCATATGCCAATGAGGCAATGACCCCATGCTCAGCCTAAAATGATAAAATATGTGTGACTCTAATCAAAGAAAATAACTGAAACTAGAATTTCTCCCCTCCCTCTCATCCCACAACAAGAAAAACAAATGGTACAAGTCCACCGCAGAAATTGCTGACACACTTTCAAGAATGCAAGTGTCTTAGCCATTTAATATGTATGAACTGAGGGAGTCAGCTAGGGGTAAAATAGCACTCAAAAAATTGCAGATTTATTCACCACTCTCACGTGCTAGTCACCGATTCTTGGTGTGCAAACTCTCGTTTGTTGACATCTCATATTCCTGAACCAATATAAAAAATTAAGAAAAGTATATGACAGGATTGACAAAGAATTACATTTGCAAGGCCATCCGGTAAGGGTGAAACAACTTTGAATGTGGTAGGACGATTGTCCAGTTTGAATCTATTGATCACCAATGGTGCCCGAGCCCCTACAGGGGCCAGTGGACGAATTAAAGGTCTCGAACTAGGAGGGTCCTGCACAGATGCAGTAGGATTTAAGGTGGGACTATTTGGCTTAGCATGCTCGTCAGATTTTTCAGCAACCACGTTAGCTCTTGGTGTTGATCCCGAGGTTTCAGCTTCCACAGGGTCAGCTAGTGTTTCCCCTTTAAGTCTTTTGGCGGCCGGATCTGGTGACACATCTCTGAGGCCTGTAGCCTGCAAAAGTATGGAAACTTAAGGGTAGCCAACCATAAAGTGAACAGGAGGTACACAATTTACAATCTTACATCATTTCACTACTCTTTTAAGAAGGGAAAACCATACTATAGTAAATGCAGTCGCAGAGAAGCAAGCAAAGCAAACAACTAGCACAAACACAAACCCCCCAAGCCCACCCAATGCATCTCTGGAAGTAAAGTTCACACTGAACCATTAAACCCATATCATCTTTCCTCTCAACACTCAGCATTTACGATTTGTATTCAAGTAAAAAAATTACTGTTTTAAAAAATATCAAGAGTACAAATAGATCAGAGCAGGAAATTAAGATTTGATTCAGGCAAGCCAATACTGACTATACATGGTAGCTGCCGGTATTCTTCCCTGAGTGGCTAAGGATGTTCTAATAAAATAAGTGTAAATGTTCACAGATGATTCACAATGCACCTAATATTGACAACTACTAAGCACTTTTGTCTTTCCTTTATTCAATGGGATAAATTAGGGTCAGACAAGAGTTGATGGGTAGACTCATCACTTATCTCACACTTCCAAGTCAAATCATTAGCCAGGTCTCTAAATAAGAATCCCATTGCATCCAAAACAGAAACTCTAATATATGTAGAATGTAGGTTCCAGTGACATACATTAGAAGACACACAGTTAATAGGGAAGCAGAGAAAGCTAGCTTAGATAATTTCTTTTAGTTTAGATTAAATTAAAGAGGTAGAGAATTACATGTTTCTCAAGTTTGTTCAGCTGGCGCCGGAAATCATTTCGTTTCTGATCAAGCATCAACTGCTTCTTACGGAGTTCTTCCTTCAAAACCTCTAAACTCTCCAGCTTGTTTTGTAGAGGAGGTGGGGCTTTGGGACTACTGGAAATAACAGGCCTAGGATGATCATGCACTAGCACTTGAGGAACAGAAGGATGGGAATTACAGTCCTTGCTACCTACATATTGAGAATTTTCCTTTCCTTTGTCAGGAGCAGATGGATGGAGAAGAGCTGGAGAATTTGTTACTCCACGGGGAGTAATGAGCACGTTACTGGTGCCACATACTCTATCATGAGGAATGTTGTCCCTATTTGCCCACCAAAGCTTGATAAATCGATTACCCATTACTGCATCAGGTGCCTTAAAAGCAGCTTCTGCTTCTTCCCGCTTAGAGAATTGGACAAAAGCTCGCTCACTATTCAAGGGGATATAAATGTCAACAACCTTTCCAAATTTTCGAAAATGTGAAAGAAGAACCTCCTTTCTGTTATCTTTCAGAGGAATGCCTTTGACAAATAGGGTGCGAAGTGCCTTATGAGATGGCTTTTGGACATCATGTCCAGATTCACTTTGTTGCTTGAAAGACGTTTCCTTAAATTGAGGTCCATTTTGATTCACATTCATCTTTTTACCATGATCTGAAGCATCTTCGGAACCAGTGACTAAAGGTTCCAGATCTTTGCCATCAGTTTCAAGATTAGAGGAAGTCATTGAAGAATCAATTTTCTCCTTTAGTCCTGATCTATTTCGTGAACTATCTATTCTTCCCCACACAGACGAATTTTGGGATCCAGCAGTAGCAGCATTCCTGGTTGTACGCTCATCATCAAAGCCTGCAGAAAACCCGACCAACTGACGATCCGAGGGACCAGTATCCAAGAAAGACTCAGTCTCATCCACATCGGAAGGATTAAGTGCTAGGAGTGCTACTGGTGTTTCAGTGCGATCATTGGCCCATAAAGGCTGGTCAGGATCATAGACGTCAGAGCCTCCTGTCATAGAACCACCAATAAAACCACCATTCAAGCTCAAACCTTCATCAGACATTGCAATCTTGCTGCTTTTTCCATATGAAGCTCTGCCATTCATTAATGTGCCAGGAGCAGAAACATTAACTGCAGGTAAAGTGTCTTGTCGAGCAGGAGTTCCAAGAAGCTGCGAGCCAGGAAGTGAAATGGGGAGATTGAATCGCGAAAGGGACTGCAAATGTAGAGATTATGACTTAAACAATCAGTCCTTTTGCCAATTGTACAATTGAATGGAAATGTATGATAGCTTGAGACACATTATCATCGCATACCAACCAGCACACAACTTCAGTATATTAGCTATTCATTGACAAATTAATAAATGGATGCAGACAGACAGATAGACATTGAGACTTTCAAAGGAAGGCTTGCCAATAAGTGATTTACCTTCAGATTAAATCAACAATTTCAAATTACCATCATCTCACGACAAAAAATGTTTAAATTGCCACCAAATTGGACCAAAATATAATCAGCAATACAATTGATTGTGCCAGTAATGCTAGATGCGCTGGGTATACATTTTGTCTCCCTTCTTGCTCATGATTTCTCCATCAATTTTTCTATTTTCTCGAAATCATGTCCAGCTTGCTTTAGCTCTTCCTCTACATTCTATCTCCAAGAGATCCACATTTTCTCAGCTGACACTCGCTTTTTCCCATAACGTCACACCAGTTCTTATTTTTACAATCAGCTGTCTCCCTCTTCCAGCATCAGGCATGCTTACATATCTATGTTGATACTTATTATATTTTGTGGTTTCAATATTTTGATAAGTACAACCCAGAGTGCTGTAGAATTAAATGGGAAAACAAGGAAATCGACTGTAAAAGGAGACTTGTATTAATGGAAAATACCAATTACAGAAAGAAAGAAACAGAACCGAATTAAAGGTGACCGTTAGAGGTCGTATGACATCCACTCTTACTGAAATATTCTTTTTGCATGCCTATCTCTTCCCAACCCTTTTCTATTTATAGACTACTACTAACCGAATTGCCTCCTCACTCTTCACTCTTAACAGAATTTGTTACTGCCCCCCCTCTTCTCCATTCTTCTAGAATAGGTATGCTTAATTGGGGGCTTATCATATTTCTACAAAATTGATTTGCTTATTAATATTTTATTCTGTCCTAAAATTTGATGCATTTCATAAAACATTATCCTCTAATTCCAAGAGTTGGGAAGCATTTCGTTAGAATCATTTAATAGTTTTGCACTATGTTTATGTAGATTTTAAATTGGAGTCGGCTATGCTGCACTATTTTCAAACCTGTAAAGGAACTTCTATAATTAATTCACAATTTTCATGATTAATTCATTAGATAAGAATATTCAACTTCAAAGTCTGTTTTACAGAAGATGTGTCAAATGCCTTCATCTTCTCTCAAATTTATGTAAAATCTTGAAGGTAAATGGGAAGTGTTCAACTACACAAACTTCCAAAATGGACATCCATGTTAACATTGAAATGTTAATGCTAAATTTTAGAAACAACAAATAAAGTTCATTGACATCCGTTTTGAAAGTTTCAAATTTGCAAAGGTGGTTGTATCATTCCTTAATAGGAAATTAGGAAGTTCCTAGTCAATGTCAAACCAAGAGATTCCTACCTATTAATTGGAAAATGGATTAAAAAGGCATGATTCCTCAGGGGGCGTGGTTTTCTCATGAGAAATATGAGGTTTGTATATAATCTACTACGCGAATGCATAAACTGATCATCACAAAATTCAGAAATAAGAATTTGCAAGGAGACAGATCTACATACCTGAACATCTTCAACAACTATATGATTGACACCATGCTCCATTGGGCACATGTCTCCTCTTAGACAAAAACCACGCTCCTCGAAGTCTCTACACCTTTGTCGAGGAATGACAATATTCATTGCAGGACTGAGAGATGGTCTGAGGGTTCTCTGAAAACCTAGGGGGTGAAATTCATCGAGGGCACCATTAGATATCCCGGGAACCAGTCCAAATGCATTCCAAGATGTACTCTGTACATTAGAAACATTTGGAAGCCCCCTCCCTGAAAAGATACTGGAATGCATAGTACCAGGCTGAACCAGTTGTGATGCAATATAAGATGAGCCAAGCCTTGAATCACACAGTCCCCAGGAACTAAGTGCCCTTCCCCTGCCCCTAACAGGACCAGCTTCACCAGACATCGATTGGTTCCCCCTTTTCCTGTACTTCAAATCTATACCAGAAAATGAGGTTGGGTTTGGAAGTCGCTTCTCAAACCTCCCAGATAATGTACCCCCTGATTGAGAATCACATCCACCATATGTGTAGCCATTTTCAAAGGGCCTATTTCTTTTCCTATATGTTCTTGTAAAAACTTGATCCAGAGCATCCTGCTCTAAAGATTGAGAACGAGTTTCTTTTTTACGATGCTTATGGTTACGATCATCATTTTCATCTTCACCTTCACTAACTTCCTTCTCCTCAGGATCACTGAGACAATCTGAAGGTGAAAGACCCAGCTTTGGAAAAGTAACTTTCAGCTTCATGAAATGCTTGCAATGTAAATTCGACGACTAATTTGTCAAGATCCTCAAAAACTTATATACTTATATTAGATAAAGCAATGGGTCACTCCATTAGCAAAATGATTTTTTGATGGCTCCCGTACCTAGAAGGGGGAAAAAGGGAATAATGAGGAGAAAAACATAACAAAAAACATAAGTTTATTAGCGCCAGAAAATAAAAAAGTGCAACCTTCATAATATAAGTAATGTCAACAGTCATGATAACTCAGGGATAATAAATCAAATTCGACTTAGAATTTAGCTAGCTTAAATTGCCAAAGCAACTAGATCAGACCAAATCAAAATCATTTAACCAGTTCTACACCAGAGAATAAGATTTTTTTAGCTCATTTTCGATTAGAATGAAAAAATAATAATAATAAATACAAAAAAAAATAATAATAAATAATAATAATAATAATAAAATACAAATAATGTGCTCAAAATATTTTCTTTAATCAAAAAGACTCAGATTCAAGTATTCACCAACGTGCATAGTAATCTCTAGTGAAAGAAGACTTAGGTTCATAAGAACACCTTAATTAACCATCCATAGGATTCTATGATCAAAAGAAATCAAAAAAGAAAAGAATACATGTCTAACGTAGAGCTGAAGCAGGATAAGACTTAGGTCGTCGAGTAGTGTCTTACGTTAACCTAAATAGCCCATGTTCATAAGAATGGCACAATTTCGTTAGAGCGAATAGAAGAGGGCTTGACCGTAATTAATCGAGCCGGTGGAAGTTGCTAAGGCTAGTTACTTTAGATTTCCCAATAGATCTAGCAATGAACAAAATAAAATTTTTATAGCAAATTATTTGGGAATAAGACTCATTTTGTTGTTGTCGACGATGATTTTATAGAGAGAGCAGAAATTCACAACTAGTACATTAAAAGAAAGATGGTCAACGGAATCAATTACACAACTAACATGCATTATTCTTGATATCTACTTGTGGACTATCAACATCCAAAACAATTTATCGTTCTGACCAAAAATAAAAGCATCAACATTCAGTTTGGCTCTCGTTTTGAATCTGATTTGAGATTGGAGTAGACGCTGAAGTGATACAGTGTTCAGATTAAGTACTTGTTTGGGAGAGATTTTTTTAAAATTATTTTCAACCACACATTCAATGGGACCCATAACCTTTTTTTCTACTTTTTGACCAAAGATTCTCCTAAAAAAAGTCATTTTTCACTTGGAAAAATTTCTCCCAACAAACCCTAAGCATACAACAATATTTTTTATGAAAGCTCAAGGCAGTAGTGAAATCCACAAACTTGATTAGATTTCCCGTCTAAGGATTCCATTTACAAAATCAGTCATTAATTAACAAATCTAAGATTTTTCTAATAGAGCTCAACGTACATTACTAATAGTCCTTTTTGGTAGGGTTTTTGAAAAGTCAAAAGACAAAGAAAGTGTTTTTGAGCATGATTGGATCATTGACTAGAAGTAAGAGCTTTTGTAGGAAGTCGGTCTAAGGTAACTTTCTCAAGAAGCTAGACGAATCAAACACAGAAACATGGCCTAGTTCATCATTGAATTAGAATGATAAGTTCAAACCTAAAGTAAACAACATTTAAATCACATGAAGACAAGGTAAGTTAGGTAACTCTCATTTTGACACATAAATGCTAACTGCCATTTTGATACTAAAATGCCAAAAGAATATCTCAATTTTTATAATCTCACTGCTCTAAGCTTAAGAAAATAATTAGTTAAGCATTCCTATTACAGGACTATATCAGAAAGGAAAATAGAACAGCGGAAAGACAGCTAATTGAACAGACACTTATTAATACAACATTTTACCACAGCATATTTAAAGTACAGAAACATGAAACCATAAGAATGGCACACTTAGAATCAACTAACCGACACACAAGCACGTTAATGGGTTCACTAAAGCCTAATTCCAATAAAAAATAAAAGAAAAAGTACCACAAATAAATCTAATTAAAACTAAACATATTCAGCAAAGCAGAAAAATATTAAATAAAAAGTTTTTTAGAAGGACAAACTCCAGGATTATTCTAAACGCAATTCACAAAACTATAATTCCATAATCCCAGAAGCCCATCGCGTGATTAACCTAAAAAAAAATTTAAAAAAATAATTTTAAAAATCAAAATTGATACCAACAATAAGAACCCAAACAACAAACACATATATGAACTTAACTGAAATTTAAAACAAAGAGATTATAAATCCGAACCTGTGCAATGATATTCAGGTTGGGTTCGGGTCCTAGGGTTTCAATTCTTATTCTCTATACTCGCCTGTATGTATTATTTATGTACAAAAAGGCGTCAATATTTAACCAATCAAATGGACAACTGCGAATTTGTTACTCTCTCTGTCCGAAAAGACGGAGAATGAAAGCTGAAACTCGATGAAGAAGGAACAACGGGTTCGTGGGGATGAGGGGTAGGGGTAGGGGCCGGGCCGGGGATTGGCTTGGGGGTTGTAGGGTGGGTGGCGTTCGATTTAGTTAAATAATCATTCATCAAGATTTAGTTTGGATTACTATTTGCTCATCTAAAATTAAAAGCTTAATAGAAAATTTCATAATTAAGAGGATAATTATTACACATTTCAAAACTAAGAATATAACTTTCAAATTTCAAAAAATAGATATTTATTAAATTTTATTTATAATTTAATTAATTAAATAAATTAAGGTCACCGATCTATATAATTTGATCACGAATTCACAATTTAATTAGTTATATATATTATTTTTTGATCATAAATCAAATTTTTTAATGTCACAAATTATTTTACAATCACAATTCAAACTTTGTAGTTCCAAAATTTTTTCATTGGTCACAGATAAAAAATTTATACGTCATAATTTATTTATAGGTCACAGATCACAAATATTATATATCACAACTTATTAACCAATTACAAATTATTAAATTTTTAGGCTACACATTATTTTTTGTCACAATTTATCTTTCTTATTGGTCATATTGATCACAGATTAACCAATTTAACAGTCACAACTAATCAATTAATCAGTGATCACCACCATCTCCTCCCGACAACAACAACACCACCGCCGCCATCTCTTCCATATCAATCACAACACTACCACACACACAACCACATTACCACCACAGTAACCACGACACTATCGCCAAAGCCATCACCATGCCTCCACTACCACAGCAACAGCATACACCTCTGTACCACCACAACACCAAATGACCTCACCCACAACCTGTACCACCACAACACCAAATGACCTCACCCACAACCCATACTATCGCGACCACAACCAAAGCAATCATCGCAACAAAGCCATTGCCGCCACCACCATTAGAGCCATCACAACTAGATCTTAGCTCCGCCTTATGTTGCTAGGTAAGGGGATGCCTCGATGACGGTAAGTTTTGCTTGCAGCACCGTCATGCAACACTACAAACCGCCCGTATCAATGCGATTTTGCATCGCCATACGACGGCTGAGGCACCATATCTGCGTGTTCACACTTCTTCTCTTTTTCCTTCGGCGACCACCATCTGAGATGGTAAATGGCCGATGGCTACTTAGTAAACAAAGAGAATGGTGATTAGGGGAGAGATATTTAGGATTTGGCATGGGTCTTAGTTTATTTAAACTATAAATTATGTTTAATTAAAAAATTTCTGATTTGTGAAATACTAAACATGGCATCTAATTTATGAAATAAGAATTTCAAATCTATTAGAATCTATAATTTTCACAAACTTAATGATTGTTAACCCACATTTAACCAAGAATATCCATCCATCATTCATATCTATTCCATCCATCTATCTCGACAAAAAAATCCATATGGCAAATAAAAATCTTACGTGACATCTAATTGTGTTAAATTTTGATGGTTTGAAAAATGACACTACAGGTGTGTTTGATTACATTTATTTTCCATGGAAAATATCAATTTTCCACCCAAATTCTTACTTGGAGTGTTTGATTGCTATTTTTTTCCATGGAAAACATTTTCCAACTTTTGAAAATATGCCTAATTTTCCTTTTTTTAAGGAAAACATTTTCTTTGAGTAGAGGTGGTTATTATTTTCCACAAAAGATGGAAAACATTTTTTTTCTATGTGATATTTTCCATGTCAATCAAACACACTCTACATTCAAACAATTTTTGGTGCAATTTACATAATATACAATTCCAAAAAATAGCTTGTGGGAGATTTATATAATATACATTAATTAAGTGCTAAATAAACCTTACGTTAATTAAAAGATAATGTTGTTCATAATCCTCATGTCCTTGACTATGCAAATCATTATTATTCTTAAATTAAAGATTAAATTTAATTTGATCTCTGCCATTTTCCTTTTATTTAAAAAAATTAAAAAAATTAAAAATAAAAACCTATATTGAGTAAACCACTATTACATAAATTTATAAGTATTTATTTGTCACGTTAAATTTTTAAAGAAACTTGGTAGCAATCAAAATTTAACAAAATAAAAATTAAAAAGAAAAAGAAAAATTTGGGTCGTTACATCTTATATGTCTGAGAATGAGCTAATGATGAACCAGACGAGTTTGCTTCTACCTAGATATCTGATATTCCAAATCATCAAGCAAGTAAAATCCCATCCAAGATAGCCTGTAACTCTGATGACGAGAAATACCTAACGTGGTGTACATCTTGGTCGCTAATAATGTAGTTATCACTAGTAAAATGTCTTTTATACATCCCTCAGTGTTGATTTTGTAAGATCTCACTGGTAGTGTACGCCAAAAGAACTAATATGGGGGCGTTGGGGGAGGAAAAAAAATACAAAAAAGTGGGATGATGACCAAGTCCTTATGCTAATGAACAGGTTAAAATAAATGACCCACATAAAGAAGTGTAATCATTCATAGACCTTCAAATGATTCGTCTAGGCTCCATGCATATCTTAATACGCTTCGTATTATTTCTCTTAGTCCATAAAAACTAAAACATCAATTGAGGAATGATAATATGATGTGTCACTTCCGAACATACTAGCTCGAGTATCTCCATCTTTAGAACTGGGTCTAGCTCCCTCACTAGATCTCGTAGGACCTAAAAGATATTTCCAAAATCATGTCATGCCTAGTTAGAAAATGGTGCTATACGTGAAACTATGTACAATAGTCTCGATCTATAAACAACACTGAGAGTAAGAGGTCATGTGATAGCTAATTTTCATTTAGATGATCACGTTGACGGGTATCAAATCTTGCCAGAACTTCCAGCAGAAGAAAGAAATTATAATAGGTATAATTGGAATCTACATCAGCCGATATGAATCCTAACATTGATGGCGAGAATGGACTAACTTCCAAGCTAACTTGGTAATAGCGTTACCATCCGGTGTATCCCTTCAAATAATCCAATCTGGGACATTTGCGTATAAAGTGATTGCCCCAGTCTAGTCAACTATTTATGATGAAAGAGCATATAACAATCGTCCAATGTTCCATCCTATGCCATCATAAATGTCGTGCATCCTCTCAAATGCGTGATGTCAATGTGGGAATAAAGACGATAAAGTAGCCTTGCCCATCTAACAATCATGCCAAAGAAAAAATGTATTTGTCTTACTCCAAGGTGCAATGCAATATGTAGCTCAGCTTGTGGTTTGACCAGTTTCATCCTCCTACAAAAGGGTGGAGTTGAATATGGAACTATTACTGCCATACCATAGATGGGTTGGAAATTATTTTAGCTCAAGTGATTAAGGCTTTTGACTAGATAATAAAGGCTTGGTAGAAACCTTACCTTGCTCTAAGCTCTAAACTCAGCTGCTTGAAGAATGTTAGATTTGCTTCCAAGTATAGAACACATTCTTCTACTTCTTCTAGCTTCGATGGCAAATATTCAGAGTGTACTAAGCAAGCTTCAAGTGGGTCCTGAGGATAATCAAATCTGGACATCTTTCACAAGCTTTGTCTATCACATTAACCTATAAAAAAAAATGATTCATTCTTATATTGGAGTGCCCTGAAGACATTGATTGTTAACTCTTATTCAATCAACCTCAAAATCAACTGCTCATTCTCACATAAATAAGAGCTCTATTGTAGCCTAGAATGGATGACCCCAAGATGAATGACACGTCTTTATCTTTTTCTATGTCCTAGATAATATAGTTTGTTGAGAATATGAACTTGTCATCCTTTATCAAAATATCTTTAACGATTTATGAGCGTGATTTACATATCCGCTAGCTGTAGTAAAATCGTAGTGGCTTTTATTTTTCCCAAGCCTAATTTTCCAAAAAGAGAAAGATGAATTAAATTAATACTTGCTTACAAATCTCATAATGCCTTATCAATGTGTTTGTTAACAATATAGTCAGGAATAGTAAAACTTCTTGGATCTTTTAATTTTGGTGGTAACTTATGTTGAAGGATTGCACCACAATCTTCTATCAGCATCACCATTTCATTATCCTCCGACTTTCTTTTGTTTGATAACATGTCTTTAATAAACTTAGCATAGTTGGATATCTGGGCTAAGGCTTCTATAAATGGTATATATTGATATGTAGCTACCTGAACACATCCAAAAACTTTACAAACTGCTTATCAAACTTGTGCTTTTGCAGTCTTCATGGAAATGCAATAGGAGGTATATAATCTTTGACAAGAATTGTTTTCTTTGCCTATGGACTGTTTAAAGACTCTTACTGATTTTTCTCTATTATTTTATTGATCTATGATTTCCTCACCAAGTGATAGGTATCTTTTCTATTGTAACTGGTCATTTTATATATATTTGAGTTCTACCTGATAATGTAGCAAATATTTGTCCTATCTGATGTTCCAAATGTAAGTGTTATGCCCTATATCCAATCGATTTAGGCTGTAAAGGCTTTTAATATGTTTAATACATTTAATTTTGGCAAGATCTATTATTTATTTAAATTAATTTTGTGATAAATAATATTAATAATAGAATCCAAAGATCCAAGTTTAAGTGATTTGTTAATCACAAGGAGTTGTGATTGTGAGATACAAATTACGTCTAATTGGATCTTGAATAAACCATGGTCGTAAGTAATAATGAGATACGGATATCGTTAATACAATTAGACCATCACGTGTGACATTTCTTACTTGTGAAGTAAGTAGCTGATCTTACGAGTTAAAGTGTGGTGACACTTAAATGAACACGTTGATATTTTGTTATAGAACTAAATATTGGAGACCCGCTAAGAGATTCCATATGGATAACTATCTGAGTGTCAGTGGTTAATCTCTAACGTTCGGTAGTAGAATTGGTCCTATAACTTGAGGTCATCATAGTGCCTTGTATGAGGATAGTCATGCTTTGACAGTGTTGGATGTTGCTCTGTCAAGGGCCGCTAATACGACATCGTTCGGGTATGTCAAGAACCATATGAAGGTTGTGAATGACCAATAGAGGATTCGTCACTCTTAGATAGTAAGAGATTGTGATCTGCATTTCGTTCAAT